TGGGACCAAAAAGTTTGCCCACAGTTAATAACCAACTTTTCCAGGATATAGTTGTTTTCAGGGTGTGCCTATTTTATTTGATATGTCTCTGTGTAAATATATGGCAAGTGATTCTACTCTCAAATCTGCAATAAGTTTCTAACTCTTTGATGGTTTCACTAGAGCACATATATTTGAGTCTTTGTTTTGTTAAAAAACGGTAACATTTACAATAAAGTCTCATTTGTTGACATTAGTTAATGTATTAACCATGAACTAATGAGCAATACATTTGTTATTAATCTTTGTAAACGTTAGTTAATAAAAATACAGTCCTTCATGTTAGTCAGTGCATTAACTGTTATCAAATAGGCCTACAACTTTTGATTTTAATAATGTGTTAGTGACAGTACATCGGTTCCCAACAGGGGGGCTCAGCGAGCTCTGTGGGGGGTCGCGTCATATTTTGAAAGGTTTGAGCAATGAGGATTAAATAAAAGTCCTTAACTTTTTTCTGTTCAAAATTTACAAAATTTATATAATGAGCGAGTTCATCATGAATCCATTTTTCAATCTGTGTTTTTGTCTTATCCTGAACCACTATGGTACACCTATAATAAGTGTTTACATTGGGACTATTTTACACTGGTTCGGATCGCTGCCACTGCGGAGTAGCCCAGTACCTGCGTGACTCGTCATAGACGTACACAGAGAGAAGTAGTTCCAGCAACAATGTTCTTCCGAAAGACGCATTATTCTGTTAATAAACGCACGTTTATTATCGCTCGCTATGGCGCCAAAAGCGTAAAAAATAAAGCCTCACAAATAACTTGCAAGTATCGAGGCCCCAGACAGCAGTCATTTAGTAATAGCCTTTATTCTTTCTTTTTTTTTACCTACAAACCAGTGTGAATATTTTTGTTTTTGCATTTCAAATAGGGCCAATTTATAGGCTTCTCCTAGGCTTACATTTTTAAATTACAAAGGGCCTACTGATGTTTTTGTTATTGTATTTTCAATATTATAGGCTATTATTTGTGCATAAACATACCGTTTGTTTGAAAAAAACATATTTTGTCATCCTTGCTGCAAGCTTACAAGAGCGATAATATCATTAAATGTGAAGGGGGGCCCTAAAATATTTTCTTGGGAAAAAGGGGGTCTCAGACAAAAAAAGGTTGGGAACTGTGTTAGTCAATGTTGAAATTAACATGAATTAGGATTAATAAATGCTGTAATTATTATTCATTCTTAGCTTGTATAATGAAACCTTATTGTAAAGTGCCCCCCCCCCCCCCCAAAAAAAAAAAAACTGCGTTTTATCTACTGTGTAATAATTTGATTCTACATTCTACACCTCGTTCAAATGACTTAGCATACCCTTAATTATGAATCCAAGCAGTTGCCTTGTCTTAAAAGTAAACCCAGATGTTCAAGTTCAACACACTTCACAGTGTGAACTTCATCTGACAGACGCAGTTTATCAAACAGTCTCAAAAATATGATAATTAAAAGATTTTGCGGGATTTTGAAGTGCTGAATTCAGTCCTGCCGATTTAGAAAAAATGTAAACGCCAGATTTTCTTTTAAAAAGCGCTAAAACGTCAAAGGCCCAATTTTTTGGCTTTATTATTATAACCTTATTATAATTAGGCCTATCATTCGTTCAAAAAAAAAAAGAAAAAAAGATAATCGAACAACTAACAAGTGGAAAGGTAAATTGCATGCTCAATGCATAAAATTACAAATAAAATAAAGCAATGTAAAATAAAAGTTGCTTCCATTATTTTTTTTATCAACTTGGATGTTTAAGTTATTTCAATTTAAATTACATTAAGCTGACTTAAAAAATATGTTGAAGGCAAAACATATGTTGTCATAACTTATTGATCTTTGTTGTTGTTGTTTTTTTACAAAGTGTACACCAATAAAATACTCAATTAATATCATTAAATACAAAGTAAATAAAACTGTTAACTCAATTTCAACATTCAGCAAGTAAAAAAAAAAAAATCTAAATATTCCGTGTAGCCTAGGCTATAGGCCTATGCCCGTCAGGAAATATGATGCATTTTTATTTGTTCTCCTTCGTTCTTTCAAATTGTATTGTATTTAATAGTTGTAAGGCCTATTTCCTTTGTTTTGTGTATTTATTTAACATAGGCCTGTGTTAAGACACGATAATGCATCTTTATAGACCGCATTCGTTACTCGCCAAAAAAAACCCGGCTATTTTTATAAAGTAATTTAGTGGATATTATGCTCATTATTCATCATATAGATCTTTTACATTTAAGATCAGCTAAACGGACCTGTGGCAACAGTTTGATAGCATCGTCCATCTGTTTATTCACAAGGTTTTCAGCGTGAAATCCCACATAATCTCTGTAAACATGACCGCTGAGAATTGATACGCTGAAAGACAGTTCACTTTTGACATGCCTTTATTAAGCAGAAATGAATTTATAAAAAAATATATATAGGCCATTCAATATCATACAGCCACGAAAATGCAATGAGATTTCATTTCCATATGGCGCATGACTCTAACAATGTTGCAGCCTGACGCCAAATTTATTTACACCAAAGAACAAGAAAAAAAAAAGTCTACTGCAAATATTGCAGAAATCCTCTGTGGTGTCTCTGTCTCCACAGCTTCAGATCCCACTTCTCCATGATGGTGTGAAACATTCAGGTGTGTTTTATCCAGACGAGCGAGTCTTTGAAGGATGAACAGATGAAAGTTGTTTTCTCTGCTGGTCTTTGTGTTCTTATGACTCTGAGAGTCCATGAACGTCGTGCTGATGTTTGCTCAGAGGACTCTTTCTTTCTACAGCTGGAGCCAAGAGAGAGAGAGAGAGAGAGAGAGAGAGAGAGAGAGAGAGAGAGAGAGAGAGAGAGAGAGAGAGAGAGAGAGAGAGAGAGAGAGAGAGAGAGAGAGAGAGAGAGAGAGAGAGAGAGAGAGGGTTTATGTAGCAAACAAGATGGAAATGAGCCTTTCAGCTGATAATTCCTTTACAAAGTCAGAGTGACCATACACTGCAATGTTGGGGGGTAAATGTAAAGGGACACATTACATTAAAGGGATGTCATTACTTGCTCACCCTTATGTTGTTCCAAACCTGTATGAGTTTCTTTCTTCTGTTGGACACAAAAGAAGATATTTTGAAGAATATTGGTAATCAAACAGTCATTGTAATCAAACAAAAATAATAATAAGTCTAGCCTATTGTCAACTGTCTGGTTACCAACATTCTTTAAAATAACTTCTTTTGTGTTCGGCAGAAGAAAGAATCTCATGCAGGTTTGGAACAACTTGAGTGTGAGTAAATGATGACAGAATTTTCATTTTTGGGTGATCTATCCCTTTAAGTTATAAAACTGGCAGCTGTGTGCATTCAAATTGGCATAAAATGACGTAAAGACAGCATGTTGCCATGCCGTCACAGTAAACACACAGCAAATAATGCAATTAAAATGAGCTAAATTAACATAAACTGCAATATAGTAAAACACCTTAATACACATAAAATAAGAATAACAGCATAAAGAATAACATTTTTATAAAATATAAACCTATATTTTACGCAGGGAAATCATGTCATCATAAGCGCTTGCTTTATAAAAAGAGATCGCTTTTTAGCCATAAAAAACATCAACATTTTTACTGTAAAAGTAATGTAGATTTCTTAACAATACAATTTTTGGTTTTTAGAACGTTCTGTGAACGTTAGTTTTCCTTAGGTTCACAGAACGTTCCACGGACATCCAAACGTTCTATGTTGGTTAGCAGGAAAGGGTTATTTACGTAAATAGAACGTTCCCTGTTGGTTTGCAGAACGTCCCCCTATAACCTTCACTTTAAAAAGTGATCAGTTGACTCAACTTAACCTAACTGCTTAATTGAAAAGTTAAGTTATGTGGAATTGTCAAGTTCACACAACTTATTTTTTTTTCAATTAGGCATTAAGTTTATTAATAATTTTAAGGCAACGGGTTTCCTGCACTTTAAAAAAAAAAGTTAAGTCAAATGATCACTTTTTACAGTCTCAGAACGTCCTTGCACGTTAACCTCTTTACTCTGATATAATTTACCCTGACGTCATCATCCAGCACTGCCGCGTCCCATTAGCGCATGAAGACGGATGGATGAAGTCAATAATCAGTACAAACCATGTCTTGTTTTGATCTAAATAATCCAAGCACATAAATCATTATATAAAATATTAAATTAGATTAAATTTGTCCATTAATATATAAGATTTCGTAGAGTTTTTGTATCACTGTACCACAATACCCAAATTTTACGTTGCTTCAGCAACAAATTTCTTATTGAATGACTTCAATAACACAATCTAGGATTTTTAAAATATGGCATTTATTCAGAGACATTAAAAAACGAATTAACAATTTTTTGATTTTAGGATAAAATTATTAATTTCTTACAACTGAATTGAGCAGTTTAGCGGGACATACTTCTTTCTTTTAGTCAGTAAACAACCTTTTTAGCTTTTTATAGCTTAGGCTTACAAACTAAAATGTTTTACTGCAGCGATTTTACATTCTTTTTCTGTTAAAGTTCATATTGTGATGTGTATTGCAAATTAGCCTACTAACACATATTCTACTAAACTTCTGTAAAATGATTTCTTGTTTGTGTGCAGAGGTTATCATGGATGACTGAGTGTTCAGGACAGGTGGCCTCTTACCGTCCCGGGCCGGGTTTTTGAAGGCTATGGCGCAGTGCAGGTTTGGGCTCTGGATCATGGCCCCGCTGTTCGGATGACTGAGGCTCGCGCCCTGAGACTGCCAGTGCCCGTAGTTACCGGCGGGCCCTCCGTAAACCCCGTACTGGTTAGCGGAGTACGCGCACGCGGGAACATATCCCGATAAATTTGATGAAGCCTGAAAACAATTAAAGGTATCATTTAGAATGGTATAGGCTACCTTTGCACCAAGAAGAACTACAAAGAATAACAAAAACAGAAAATTATATTATGAGAAAATAAAATGAAATCAACAAGTTTGTGATCATTTTATATGATGATGCAATACAACGTATAAGATCAATTCTGAATAAACAATTTAGAAAAATAGATTATGAACATTTTAAAGCAAGGTTTTAAGATCCACAAGATCTCTCCACTTTAAAACAAATAACTAAAGATTCTTTATTGGCATCTAGTTCCATTAAGAACCGTTACAAAAGGTTCTTTACAGTGAAAAAAAAAAGTAGCCTATTCTTCACAGTTCGCACCAACAATAAATTGGGACCCAAAATTATTCTTTTTTGACATCACTGCGAAAAACCAACCTTTTTATATCGCTTGCTTATATTGGAAATTAAACATGCTCATGCTAATAAATAAAGCATAAATTAAAAGGTCACCTGGTTGTACTTAATGTCACTTTCTGGTTTCTCGATGCCGTTGACTCCGTGCACGGAAGGAAATGTAGATCTGTTTACGCCCGTCCAGTCCTCCATTTTCTGCTGGTAACTCTCTGTTCCAGCAATGGCTGTAAAACATTAAATAAATCAAAACGCATTTTAATCGCTGCAGCTGCTTCACGTTAACAGTTCAAAGATCGGGATTTCACGATGATGCACTCTGATCTTGGAGTAAAAATAGAGATAAAGAATTGAACTTCTCGGCTCTGTCTGAAAATGATGGTGTTCTTGCTATAATGCAAACAACATTAGTCACATTTAGAAGTAGAAACTCTATAAATGCATTAGACTGTTGTAAGAGCGGCAGTCTCATGGCCTCGTGGCCTCAAATTCTGCACAGCAGAAGCTCATGCCTTATGAAAACCTTTTATTTTTTATTCTCTGTAATCATGCTGAAGAACCTAAACACTGATCTGAAGAAGCTTAATATTACTCAGCAGGAAAATATTTTAATCTCCAGACAGCAGAAGCAACAGAACAAAAGTACAGCGATATAATCCAGATGCATAAACGATTCCTCATTATGGCAAGCCGTTTTGACTTTTATCCTTTCCCAGGATATGAATTCTTGATATCAACAATTCAATTTTCACTAGTTAAAATGTTCATTCTTGATATCATGACGTCAAGAATTGCATTTCAACTAGTAAAACCTATAATTCGTGATATCTGTATTTTTCAAATTAAATTGTTGATATCAAGTATCGATTTCTTAAAGAAATACAATTCTTACTAGTAAAAATCATTTTTTTAATATCATTGATTGAGTACTATAGTGCAAATGTTCTTGATATCAACAATTGAATTGCCACTTGTAAAAATGTTCATTGTTGATAAGAATTCGATTGTCACTATATTGACAATGTTAATTTCTGATGTCATGAATGTGATTGTTAGTAAGAAAGCCATTTCAGATATCTGTAATTACTCTGCTAATTATTGCTATCAGAAACACATTTACAGATATCAGAAATAACAAATGTAACATGTTGAAAAACATTTACAGATATCAAGAATTACCATTTCAAATAGTGAAAATATTTAGTAACAAAGTTATTATTGATATCAGAAATTATGATTTTTACTTGTAAGAATTGTATTTCTGATAGGCCTGTGAAATTGGAATTTCAACTAAGAAATCAATCATTGATATCAAAATTTAATCTGAATGGCAGCCTATGGTGACATTTAACTAAATACAATTACAGATATCAAGAATTATAGATTTACTATAGTTTAACTTTAATTATCGAAATTAAGAACACGCTGGCATTCCCTGACAATATTTCGTCAACACAGGAACTTTTGTTGGATGACAACCGAATTAAAAACTGGTTAGATCTAGCTGTTGATAAATTAATACTTTTTAATATTTTCTTATTAATCAAAATAGCATCATGCATTGCGCGTAAAATCGTACCAAACGTTTACGCGGCTTCGATCAGGGCGGCCCATGGATAATACAGAAGGTGTGAATACCTGCGGGATCCATGAAAGCCCGTATTCCTAATATGTTGCTGACGGTGTGCACGGAGGGCCAGGCCCGGGACAGGCTGACAGACACCCCCGGGGGACTGCCCAGTTTGGAGCCGGTCGGGGACATGGGGTTCGGGTAGGAGTATGGATACACGGGGTTATAGGAGATCTGCGGTGGAGAGGGTTTGCTGTCATACTGACTCGGCTGAGACAGGTTCCCGATCTTGTTTCTTAAAATGCGACTGATGGAGCTCACAGACGGGACGTTATATTTGTCGCACACTCCGTCGGCCAGCAGTCTGTCGCGTATTTCCCAAGCAAATATTCCAGGATCGCCCTGTTTATAATCCCGTATGCTCTTCACCACGTTTGGCGTCGTGACCCGGGGTTTACTCCCACCGATAGCTCCAGGTAAAATAGAGCCGGTCTCGTTGTACCTGGCCAGGATTTTGCTCACACACCCGTGAGAGACCCGGAGCTGTCGACTTATGTCACACGGCCTGATCCCGAGCTGCGCCAGTTCGACGATTCGGATCCGGATCGCATTGGGAAGAGGCCGACCGTTGACAAACACACCGCCGAGCTGGTTCACCTCCCCGTACGTCTGATCTGCAACAGATTCATCATATTCAACTATACAGTGCAGTTTTTATAGCTAATGATCATAATAATAATAGGCCTAAGTTTTATTTATAAAGCGCCTTTCCCAAGCTCAAGGTCGCTGTAAAGGAGATAATACATAAACACAGCATGAAACATAAATACATGCATCATACAGTACATACATACATAGCCCACATATACACATTTTAATAATACCCTACAATTGTGTCTTGCATTGCGGCGTTTGCCTAAATAAAACGATCTTCATGCACTCATAATAATAATTTAAAAAACAACAAAAATAAATTCTCCATGATTTAACAAAGAATATTTTATAATCTATTATTATATCATGAACTATTTTACTAAAGGTGTCTTTGAAATCAAATGGGGTTTCTGGCGGTTCATCATTAAAAAACAACAACAACAACAGCAGGAAAAACCATATAGGCACAGATGAATAAAACGCACACAAATATGTAGGCTATATCTCAAAAAGATTTAGATTTAAGCTATTTGCAAAAGTGTTTGGGAGTATAAGCAGGCCTGCTTTAATCTAGTGTTTGTCTGGGTAGCCTAATTTATCGAATAGGCCTACTTATAATATTTCATAAGAGAAGAGTGCCATTTCTGCTCGCATACAAAAATGAACTGCCTACTACATTTGATCGGTGTGGATGCATCTATGAGTTTAATTCTCTATTCCTGTCTTACAGATCAAGATGAACTTACCCATTTGCATTGTGATATTTCCCTACAGTGGTGGTGCTCCTTTAACCTTTAACTGTGCTGCTGTGTCCCGTGCAGCATTGGAGAGGTTTCCCCGTGTCTCCCGCTAGGACTGCCCTCTTCGTCTTCTTTTTTTTTATGGCTGAAGTGTCTGAGTTTAGGACTGAGCAGGTTTTTACAGTAATCTTTGATCCACTTGAGAAACTGCGTCCGTCCAGGAGACTGGCTCGTGCGCTCAATTTGACGCGTCACGAGCATCAATCACACCAGACAGCGCGTGACTCCGCCCCGATCCTCATCGCGGGACATATGCATCGGCACAATGTACGTTTCCTGCCATTTTAGAAGCGACTATATGACCATAAAACTTACCTGAAAATTGTGGTATTTTAAGTTATATCAAGAATAAGATTCCAAAAATTCCCAAAATCTTAATATTTACATTAATATCATTAGCCTAATGCCTATGCAAATACGTTATGTAAAGCATATGCAGGCCTTAAGGACTAACACAATTAGCCTAACTCATTAACAATATATATATATCTATATATATATATATATATATATATATATATATATATATATATATATATATATACATTTTTCAATTTCAGTGTCCGGTGAAAACATAGGCTATAGACTATATATATATATATATATATATATATATATATATATATATATAGAGAGAGAGAGAGAGAGAGAGAGAGAGAGAGAGAGAGAGAGAGAGAGAGAGAGAGAGAGAGAGAGAGAGAGAGAGAGAGAGAGAGAGAGAGAGAGAGAGTCTATAGCCGATGTTTTGTTCACCGGACCCACTGAAATTGAAAAATGTTCAACTTTTAAGATTAAGTGCTTAAGCATTTTTAAAGCGGTGAAAAAGGAAAAAAACTTGTGGTTCCAATGTTACTACAACCTGCAATTACAAGTGGATTGCACTTGAATTTACTTGCAAAGTTGGAACTCTGAAAACAAATAGGCCTATGTAATAATATAATAGCAGGCTTCAGATATTGGTATTAATGTAATGTCAGTGGAAGGGAACAAATATGTAATAAATGTTATTTACACGAAAAAGTGACTATGCATTAATTGTCACAAACGCAGTGGGAATTTAGTCTCGACTTCTTAACGAAAGCGACTCGAAGAGGAAAAGTGTGAGAGCGGCGCCATCTCATGGTTCATGTAGGAATTACACGCATCAAGAGAAACGCATCTGGCTTCAAAACACGATATACAGGCTCATTAATTACACATCGTTTTACTGGGTGTATTTGTTTGCCTTTCACAGAAGACACTAAATTAAGTGCCACCCTACTGTAATTCAACAAACCATATATCATGTACGCTTGAAGTGGTTTTTATAAACATCCAATATTGATATTTAATATTATATTATTAGGCTATTTAAATGTTGAATCGGTACAGGGACAAAACAAACAAGACATGTAAAGGCCAACTAAGACATCTAGGTCACTGTTGTAAAGAAATAATATATTTATTTTCAATATAGGCCTAGCCTATAAGTTTCAAAAGAGATTTAGGCATTTATTTTTTATTTAGGAATAAACGAAAATGCTTAATATGAATATTAATATGTAGTATCTTACTATTAATATGCTTATTATTACGTCAAGGTCCCTTTTATTTATATAGCACCTTAAAACAGCATTACTGCTGACCAATGTGCTTCACAGAAACACAATAAAAACACAATAAAAACAATAAAAACAAACGTCGTACAAATTACATATAAAATTTTGACTCACTAAGGCTACATATCCACAGTTATGAATAGGCCTGAGAGAAAAGAATATTATGTAATGAATATAGGCTATATGATTCATTACTGCATATCAACACAAACACACACACACACACACACCCTCTCTCTCTCTCTCTCTCTCTCTCTCTCTTTTAAACACACACACACACCACACACACACACACACACACACACACACACCACACACACACACACACACAACACACACACACACACACACACACACACACACTTTCCCTCAAAATACCAGAGAGGTTTGTCGCAATTGTCCTCATTAGTGTTGTTGTACATACCAGACTGCACCAGAAGAGGGAGAACATGAGAAAGAAGGAGTTTGCATTCCACAATGGTGTCAAAACAGAATATAGCCTACCTGTCATACTAGGCTGATGTAACTGATAAGAAACCCTAAATGTGGTCAATTTGGGAAACCTAAATATAACAATATTCTTTTCACTTAAAAGACAAAAAAGATACAAATTTAATTTTCATTTACATCATGGGTCAAGAGTTCTGCCATGAAACATGTGAGCAGCAAAATATTCAGTGGATATCATGTCTCTGTAAAATTAAAGTCCTTTTTGACTAACAGTGTATACTTGTTACCGAATATCATTGCATTGTTTAGTTAAGTAGTGTCTTTAAGATAACTATCTAAACAAATGCATCAACATAAACAAAAGCATATGAAAACGTGCATTATAAGCTATACGGATAAATGTTACAAACAGAACTTTAAATGATTTTACATTTACAGTCTTCTGGGCATAGAACAGTTGTTTTCTTTTCTTTAGAGTAATTCAAAGCGTCACATTCCCTCACTAGATGGCGCTCTCACACAATACACGAAGCACTCACACAAATCTGTTCATTTTTCGATTCTATATTTAGCTGTCGTGCTTTATCATAATACAACTACGGGTTAAAGAACAATATGCAAATCTGTAGCACGTTTTGACTAACTCTAACAGACTGAACATTTATACCACATGCATCGGAAAACAATTCTCTCCTATTATTGCACACAAAAATGTGTAGACTATTATGTTAAAGGACTATATTTGAAATTATTTTTTCCTATTCCAGCTGTGTGCATTTCAGATGACACTTCTTTGTTCCTATTTACAGCTTGTTTCAAAAACATCCTTGGATTTTGTGAAAATTTCAAAGCACTAGTCCTCATTCTCGCTGTGTTGTTCATTACAGCAACAGGGTCTTTTTCAGATCTTACACCAGATAACGATAACTCATTGTCAGGTCGTTGGTGATGAAAACCCCATGCGGGAAATTATATCTAAAGCCACCGCAAAAAAACAAAACAAAAAACTTTGAAATATTTCGCTATGAATGTCTAATTTGTTTTCTTATGCGACAGTCGAAGCTCTAAACATGAATGAAGGAATCGTTCATTGAGGCCAGTTGAATACCATGACAACAAGGAGCGCGCTCACTTTTATTTGACCAGTTTGGGTGTATTGTGTGAGGGCGTCAATCAACCATTATTTCTGCGCCCCAAATAAATGCAAACCTGATCTAGCACAAAAACTTCCAGAGGGAGCCTTTCATTCCTCTATTGTCCAGAGCTTAGCTGTTGGTTTGTAGATGTGTTTGCACAGTCCGACCACCCCATGACGCGCGCAGAGCGCACTGAACATTCACATCACATATACTGTCAGAGAGAGGAACCAGAGACACCAACTCATTCCACATAGGTCTGGAGAGAGACCGAAATCAGGCGTTCCGAATGCACCAAAAGGCCAAAATGATCATCATAAAATCGTTCCTATTTAGATAGATTGAAATCTTTGAAAATTGTATGCACATAAAAAGAAAGTTTTCATGAAGTTAAAAAAGAGCTTGTGCAAAGTAGTTTTTCTCGAAAGACCCACAACAAAAAAAGTAATAAGAAAATAAACTTCTAATTGCACTAACTTTTATACTAAAAAATATAATAATAATGATAACAATATACAATAAGGTTTCATAAGTTAACATTATTTAAGTACTTTAGTTAACATGAATTAACAGCATTTATTAATGTAAATGAGTGCCGTCAAATCGATTAATCGTGATTAATCACATCTATCTTAAATGGTTGTTGTGCACACATATAGGCCTAAGTAATTATATATATATATATATATATATATATATATATATATATATATATATATATACGCACACACAAATAAAAACAAAAACATTTATGTTAGATGTGGTTAATCGTGATTAATCGATTTGACAGCACTGATCTAAATTATTGTTAAATTCAACATTTACTAATTATTAAAATCAAATGTTGTATTTGTTCACATTAGTTAATGCACTGTGACCTAAAATGAACATATGAACGACTGTATTTTTTATAAAAATTCATAAAAACTGTAACAAATGTTTTAACATTATTAGTTCATGCTAGTTAATACATTAACTAATTAAACTTTATCGGTAAACTGTTACCATAATAATTGAACAAAAACCTGCAACAGATTCAGAACTCATTCCTAAAATATTGTGTAAATATAATTACGTTTTTTCGGTCTAAAAATAAACGCTTTGTGGGTCATTCTAAAACAAGTGTGCAGTGAAGTATGTCGATTTAGCTTCCATTAATTTCAAACATCTGAATGCATCATTATCAAGGAAAAGCTTTTAAGCATCAATGACCTACAGCGTATAACATGGATTCTGAAGGAGGTCAGTAATAGGATTCTGCTCTTGTCGACAAATATGGGGTCGGTGGCTTGATGAATTTGCTACTTGACTTAAGCTCTAAGCAAAATATTGACCCAAAAGGTTTCCATAATTTGGCCACTTGCCATTTTAAACAATCCCATTTAAACACGAACAGCTCATCATCATTCTACAACATACAATGTTTCCGAGCAATCACACCTTACAATGTAAAAAAGCGTGCGTTTTTAAAGATAATTATAACGGAGGGTTTCCATTTGTGCCACGGACGCTTCTGATATGTAAATGAGTTTGGGGGGGATCTCTCCCATTTTAGTCGCGTCACCTCATCCCACTCATGCATTTCTGGTGTTCCGCTGACAGAAGCTCAACTCACTGTTTCACACTTGACTCCAGAGATCCGCCCTCGATCGTCAAGGCCTTTTTGGGACGCTTTTCTGCAGGTCCAACACTCACCTGCGACCTTAAATGGACCAGACTAATGGATTGGTTGGGTCAAGCACTGCATAGCATCCGAGGAGCATCTGTGATCTGAGCCTGGATCCGTGTGCACGCGCGCTGTCCAATCCCACGGATCTGCATTTACAACTCACCAGAACGCTTTTTTGGATAGACTTCACTGTCACTGTATATTGGATTGGAAAATGTCCCTAAGAATTGCAAGGCAGGGTTCTCTGTCCGTGATATTTTAGACCTCCCGGACACGAGCGACGAAGGATCAGTGACTGAAGACACTGAAGATGAGGCTGATGAAGGAC